AACAAAAACACACAAAACATTTTATTTAATTTTATCTTCTTTCTTTTAAGATAACATAAAAAAATATTCCCTCATAAAATGATTTATTTTCTGTTTAGTGTAAATCAAATTAATGATAATCTTCTCTATATCACAATAACATGATATTAAATAACATTTCTATTTTATATAAAATTACTTTTGGCTTCCATAGCCTTATATTAATATTTAAAAAATGATACAGATATCAGATAAGAGTTCTGTCCTAAAAAATTATAGGAACCATAATTCCGTTTTTTATGGACTAATTCCCCCTTTATTATATACCCTAATAAAATCGTTATGACCTACTCCCACAGTACCATCATCAAATCGTATTGTACACAATTTATTCCCAATATTATCTATAACAACCTTTCTCCCATTTTTTTTATGGTCAAAAAGTCTACCCCAAATAATTTTCCCCACAGGAAATTTTATATTGGTTTTTTCATAAGATAATATATTGTCAATTTCTTTTGACTTAAGAAAATTAAGGGTAATCTGGTTCTTCTACCCGAAAATAATTCAACAGGAGTAACTCCCTCTTTATTCCTTGAATTATTATAATATAATTGGGCTAACCAGACGTCATTTTTTTCTTGTTTCGATTTTCTTAACCAATTTTTCACTATGGCTACCATTCTTTCAGCCTGGCCATTAGAGCTAGGATGATAAGGTGGAGTCAAAATATGTTTAATTTTAATTGAATTACAAAATTGCTTAAAATTTTTACTTATAAAAGCCGGACCTCCATCCGATACAATTATTTTAGGACTAATCAATTTCAAATTTATATGAGGACATGAACTTTGTTCAATTGTTTTCTCATCACTTAATTTTTCAATTACTTTCATTGGCTGAATAGTATTTATTATAATCGAATTTCTACTATAATTAATATTCATACCTAAATTCATCTCAGAATCTAAATGTCTCTGAATCTCATTTATGTTTTTATTAAAAATCTCCCATGGATATTTCTCACTTGTTTGATTACAATAATCTTTTTTATTCAGATTATTGGTTAATTTAAATTTTTTTATTTCATTAAAATGACAATAAAAATTTCCTACATTAAAACTCTTTTTATTCGAGTTAAATTTCAATGTATAATCATCATTCCCATGATGATTATCAATTTTATTATATATATCCACAAAATTTTTAATAAAACTATATATATCAAAATATTTATTATTCTCTAAATATGATTTTTCTATTTTTATATGATTCTCTTTTAAATCATATAGTCACTGTGACCCACTCACACTTTGGATACAATGTATGGCAATGTGTCCCATTTCTTCACATTTGAAACACATTCTATCATTGTCTGTATTGTATATTTCTGCTTTATCCATATTTGTAATACTAGGATTTTGTATATTTCGAACTACTCGATTTATCACTACCGATGTTCGTTGCGGAAATCCACTTTTGAAATTGGCTTCTTTCACCATGCAATTTCGCTTTATATGTCCCACAAAACCACATCGATGACACACCATGTCATTTTTTTCACTTGGTTTTGCAGTCACATTCTCATTAGTTTTTCGGTTCCTTGAATAACAATTTTTACCGATATGTCCTTTTCTTCCAGAAAGTTCACAACTTTCAATCACATTATTACTATTTTTAATTTTTAAGTTGGAAACATCTCTGGACAAATTTTTCATATTTTCTCTCATTTCTCTAATTTCACTTAAAATTAGAGATTCCTCGATACTTTGTCTCAAAGTATTATTTGTTTTATTTCAAAATTTCTACTGGTTTCTCGATTAAAACCTCAGATATTTGCTTTTTAAATTCTATCACAATTGAATTTAATTTTTTATTTATATCCTCCAATATGTCAATATTTTGAGGAAAATTAAATACTTCACCCGTATCTAATATTTTCTCGGATTTTTCTTCCAGTATAACATTTTTTTTACCATTTAAATTTTTTAATTCTAACAAAATTAAATGTAAACTATTTTTGATATCTTCAGAAATATCTGGATATTTCACCAAAACTTTAGGAATTAAATTTTCAGTATTTGTATTTTTTATATCATTTTCTCTATTTTTAAGAGATCTTCTTTTTATTTTCCTTATTACTTTTTTCATTATAATTAAGATTACATAAAACACAAAAAAAATTACTGCAGTAATGACATTATTGGTCACATCCACTTTATTAAAGTTTGAATTAAAAATTTTATTAAAATTACTCTTAAAATTTGCCATTTTATTAATATTATGCTTATTATAATTATCATTAAAATAAAAAGCCATTTTTGCATTAATTACCCAAAATTTAAAATTTTATCTCATATATTTCTAATTTTAATCCAAAAAATGTTACTTTGCGTTGTGTAATTTATAATACAAAAAAAATTTCTTACCTTTGTATATATCCGGAATTACTATTATTTTGAGGAACCCGGTCCTAGAAAATCTTTTTCTTGATTAATAACGTCTGAAATCTATTTTTATAAAACACTCTTTTGTTTTATTTTTTTTTTCTAAATATCTTAGTTTTTATATTTTTCTCTAACTTATTTTTTCCCTAATAAGTGTTCACGATTCCTGGTCGTTCGGTACCAATAAAATATTTCTCATATTATTGAATTTATTATATTTCAATTTCTTTATTTCAAAATCTATTCTTCATATATCAATAAATTACAATATAATTTTTCTTCTTTTTTATAAAATATCTCAATTTTTATCAATTCAATCCACAAAAAGTAAAAAGTTAATTTTTTTCCAAGTAAAACATCAATTAATAATATTATATCATATAATAAAATCTATTATTTTTTAAATACAAATTATTTTATTGATTGACATTATATCAATAATTATTTAAAAAGAAAATTAAATATATATGAGATATACATCACTCTCTATCAGTAAAAAATATTTTAGCAACACTGATCTGCAAATGTATCAATAGTGTTATATTTTATGAATTGTTAAATACTGAAAATTATTAAAAATAGTGATATCTTTAGTTTTTCTGCAAACACTTTAAGTTTATATTTAAATTTTCATCATGTAGCACTGGCTTATCAAAAAATGTGCAATTAATTTTTTAAAAATTTTTTAACAGAGAAATAATGTAAACTGAGGTTATATCTCCATAAGTAGCACTTGTTTCTGAATCAGCTCTTCTTATTTCTCACTATTCTCTGGGTGTTGTATGTAGAGGTCTGTTTCACAGCCAGAGCCCAATCCGAGCTCAACTTTAAAACACTTTTTAGTCAGAGCCCAATTGAGCCTGAATAATACAATTTGAGTTTAAATATTATAATAACCAAAAAAAATTTATGTGTGTTTATTCATCGCCACCTTAAATAAAAGTTTATTTGATGACCGTAATCTAAACAAGATATATATGTTGCATTTATATAATTTGTAAAAATATTATAAAAAAGTTATCCTTTTTCATAAGTGTTTAATTTTGGAAATAATTTATTGCGTATAGCATCATAGTATCTATTAAATTTATCGAAATTGTCATGGGATTTGAAATGATGGTTTTAAGATCAATATTTCCATGTATTGAGCCAATTTTGGCAAAATAAATTTGAGCCAATTTTTGCAAATTATGGCAACAATCAACAAAGCCTTCCTTATGAATAGTATCAAATGATCTCAAATCACATCTACACACTCCTTTTTTAATTTGGTACAACTTTTGAGTTTTTTGGGATCAGTACCAAAAAGGCTATCAATTATTAATTGAGTTTTTTTACATTATATTTTATATGATTTATTCCTAAAATAATTTAATATAAATTTACTAACCTGTTATAAAATTATTAACATATATATTTGTAAAAATTGCAACTTATAATTAAATTTTTCTTTGTTTTCATGAAAACTTTTTCCAGACCTCAGATTTCCCATTGCCATTTTCCCTTACTTTATATTCATTGCTCTTAATCTTTTCACCAATTTTTTAAAATTGAAATAATTTTTTTAATATGAAAATATGAGGCTAATTAATTTAATAGATATTAGTAAAATATATTTTATTTAACTTGATAGAATATGATGAAAGTAAAGTATATAATAATATCGTTAACTATGCAATGCAATTTACTAAAATAGAATCACATAAAATAGTTTGGTATAAGATTGTTATGTAAATTATAAAATAATATTGTGACATGTTATTCTGATTGACATTTTAAGGATAAATGTAATAAATAAAAAATAATATGGTTTTATAATTGACATTATGAATTATAATGATTATTTAGGATATTTATTTTTCGGGTCGGATAGCTCCTGGTCATGTCAGGCTACAGATGCAACTGTGTGGACAAACTATATGTTCATCCCAATTTTTCTATCTACAAATGAACATTTTTCTTCTAATTTTAAAAACTATTAAGCAGTAAAATTAAAGCTTTTTATAATTAATAAAATAGGTATAAGATTGTTATGTAAATTATAAAATTAATATTGTGACATGTTATTCTCATTGACATTTTAAGGATAAATGTAATAAATAAAAAAAATATGGTTTTATAATTGACATTATGAATTATAATGATTATTTTGGATATTTATATAAATATTTATTTTTCGGGTCGGATAGCTCTTGGTCATGTCAGGCAACAGATGCAACTGTGTTGGCCTTGACTGTGTGGACAAACTATATGTTCATCCCAATTTTTCTATCTACAATTGAACATTTTTCTTCTCAAATAAATGAATTTTAAAAACTATTAAACAGTAAAATTAAAGATTTTTATAATTAATTATTCTTATTCAAAAAAACTAATCAAATATTCTTCATTGTATACAAAAACCTGTTTTTATATAAAGCATTAACATTAGAAAAATAATGAACAATCCGAAAATAAAATAAGTAAATTTAGCCTCTCTCGTAAAATAAATAATGAATCTCAAAATCGCTTGCCAATGAATTCTATTATACTACTATATTTTGCTTTATAAATAAAATCAAATACATGCAAAAGTCAAGATGAAGCAGGCAGATACATAGAGACATTTAAGGCTTACGAAAATAAACCAGCTGATCTTATAATGGGCAAAGATTGTGAAAATACTATTTCACCCTCTGAGGATGATGTAATGGGTGATGTTAATATTACTGATAAAGAAATAAAATCCAATCAACAACACTTAAATCAATACATTAACTGCTTGTCAGCTTCAAAATGCGTCAATAAAACCGATAGTCAAACATTTTATAAAGGTATAAAATAGGTTTTATAAATTATATATATATATTTGTTAAATAATAAATGAATAATAAAAGGATTGCTTAGATTAATTTATATAAGTTGCAAACATAAATGTTTTAGACTCAACCAGTTAATCTTTTTTTAAAAAAATTTATTTTAACACAATTCCTTTAAAAGCCTTCAATGGAAATTTATCGAAGTTGATTCAAACAGCTACCATAAGGGAAGGTGAAGATCTGGAAATTTTGCCCGGAATAGGAACTTTAAAGGCTCAAAAATTATCAAAATTGTTTAAAGCCCCTTTCGTTATTTCTTAATTTTATAATTTTAATAAATGGGTATATGAATATTTGATTACTATCTTAAATTTTCCTTACAAGCGAATGTTATATAAATATACATTAAAAAGAAGTTATGATAGATGCTCATTTATCTTTATTCTAGTATATAAATTTGCCTCATAAAGTATTGATTTCAATGTAAGTAGAGACAGAGTTGGGCAGGTCCGCCGGATAAAGAATCTAGATACAGATACAGATTTTATGTGAAAAAATGAATCTAAGATACAGATACTACTAGTATCTATTTCAAATAATCAAAAAGACACAAGATAAAAGATACTTGTATCTCTTGCCTAATTAGAGTATCTTAAATACAAGATAGTTTTAAATTATTATTATCAATTAAATTAGAATAGTTTATAAAATACAATTTTTATTATTTACTTGTAAAGAACATCACATACTTATATAATAATAATTAATATTTACAATAATTAATAAAATATTTATGATTAGCTAATTATAATAATCAGACATTTTAATATTAGATAGCCCATTCTTAGCATAGATAGGGAAGGGAGACTAGTATTTTTAATGGGAGTTGAAATATTAATTTGCAAAAGACTATTTAAAATAGATTCATTATTCTATAAAATAATCAAATTTTTCAAATAATTTATCATTAGTCCTTTGCCGTTTCGGTGTATTTAATATTATGGCAAAATTAAAACCTTTCAATTGGAGCTGATATAGGTATTGCAGTAATATATTTATAAAAAATTTCCTTAATGAAAAAATAATAATTAAGCATTTATAATGTATTTCGACTTCCTTTAATATAATTTAAACCTCCATTTCAATGTTATTTGTATTATTGAACTCAGCAACATTTGTTTTACCAAAAGAAAAATAATCATCATTTTTTTATTAGAGTTAAATCTATTGGTGTTATAGTTTGAGCTTGATTATATACCTGGTACTATATTTAGGGCTTCTTTTATTAATATATTTTGAAAGTATTTATTTTATCACTGACTCAATCCATAAGTTCTTAAAATATGGATGTGATATTGATGTTAAAAAAGCACCATCTTGGAAGCGTATACATGAGCGGAGGGGGTTTTGGCTCCAATTTTTTTGAGGTGGGTAGGGGGTAGACGACTTTAATGGGGGTAGGAATTTTTCGGGGAGTTATCTATTAAATTTTGAGATGAAATAGGAAAAAATTTATTGCTTTAAAATCTAATATTTTTATTAATAAAAGCCTTGTCACAAAAATAGCGTTACGCTCTCATGTCACACTTTTCATGTCCCTCTTTATAATATATATTCAAAAAATCGTTAATTTTGAAAATTGCCTGTTGCCCAGGATTAGTGGACTTGGGTTCGAATCCCGGCAAATGTTTTTTTTCTTAATCTGGTAAAAAAAAAATTTTTCTTAATCTGACAAAATTAATCAAATAGATACGATTCAAAGAGTATGAGATTTATTTAAATACTTTTTTAATTCTTGAATTTATGTATAATTTAAAATTTAAACCATTATATGGGGAATCAGAATTTTCTCTTTTATTTGATGAGGGATGAATCAGAAATTTCCCTATCTTATGAGGTGTTATTTAAAAATTTATATTTATTTAGGGTTATTCTAAAATTTTCCATTATTTTTATAAAATATGTTAATAAAGTATATATTTAGTAATTTTAATTTATGTGTACAATTAAAAAGTCTTTTATAAATTTTTATTCATTTGTATTTTATAATCTAAAAATTTATTCTTGCAGATGAGAGTTTTATGTTAAAACCCTTAAGAAGGATCCATTCCACATTGAATTTTATACAACTTTATATCTCTTAATTAGGTAATTTTTATGCATAAGTAAATATTTGCATCTCTCTTATCTTTTCTGAAATTGGCCTTTCTACATGCATTCTCTCATAACTTTATAATTTAATTGTAGAATGTATATTTTTCATAACTTATAACATTTTTGATTAAATGTATAACTTTTTTGTTTAACTTATATATAATTTGACTATGATTAAAGTTAACCTCCTATTATTTGTTAACTTAGAATATCTTTTTATTTTTTCTATTGTAATTTAATAACAATGTCTTAAATTTATATTTTGTAACTAAGTAATAAATCATTTGGAAGGGTGGTGGTTTGTTTAAAATTTAAATTAGAATGAACATATTTTTAGCATGGTACTTTAATATGTATTCATGATTTTCATATAAATACCAGGCAGGAGCTAACCAGTAGAATGATAGGTAAATCAGAAATTTCCCCTTCATTTGATCCTAATTTTGAAAAATTTTCCCAATAATATAAATGGCAAAAAAAATATATATATTAGACAGATTTAATTCTTATAAACCCCTACATCACACCTATTTTTCTGGATCAAGGAAAAAATAAATTATGGGTTTTCCTGGGTTTGGGAAATATTTTTCACAATTAATATGGACTTGGAAGTAGCTTGGGAAACATTTTTTAAAATTAATATAGGCTTAGATTCCTGAAAATTTTTTAATTTTAAATATGGGCTAGAAATTGGCCTGAAAATTTCTTTTGGAGACATGTCCAGGCCTGATCAAATACCAAGGCCCATGCAACTTTCATATTCTGATTGTATTTTTAAATGCATTGTGACTTTAAATATTTTATTTCAGTTCTCAACTATCAAAATTATTATGGTCTTTTTGAGAAAATTTTCCCAAGTGCGTGGACCTGGCTTGTGAATTTTTTAAATATTAGGCATAGATGTAATATTTAACACAGAATATTTATATGGCCCTCAGGTAAAAGCTAATTTAAATATATTTTTATAAAAATAGTATTCATTCTCAGTCTTAAAGGGTTGGCCTTTGTCTGAAGGTGAGCTGGGTTAAAATAGAATAAAAAATAGATTTGGTTTTTAGAGATTTACCTATCTCCCGGGTTGGGAAAAAATTTTGAAAATTACTAAGGGTTGGCCAGGCTTGGGAAAATTTTTTTTATAAAATTTTTATAGGTTGGGCTGGGTTTGAAAAATATTTTTATAAATTATATTAGGCTGGGCTTGGGGAAAATTTTTCAAAAATATTATGAGCTAGTAACTATGAGTCAGACATTGGCCTAAAAAAAATTTTATGCAGTCCTGGGCTCGGCCTGATCAAAAAACCTAGGCCCATGAAAATCTGATTTTGAATGTATTTTTAACATTATGATTATTTAAATATTTTATTTCAGTTCTCAACTACCAAAATTATTATATTCACTGGGCTTGAAAGAATTTTTCAAAATTATTATGGCTTTGTACTTTGCCTGGGAATTTTTTTAATATTAAATATTAGGTATAAATGATCAGTAATATTTATCAAATAATATTGGTTATCAAGTAAAAGCTTTAAATTTAATTTTACCAAACCATAGTATTTACACTTAGTTTTAATAGATTAAACCTGGCATGAAGGGGGGGGGGATTAAAAGAATAATAATTGGATATTATTTTCAAATAAGATGTATCATAAAAAAAAGTAAGAAGAAAATTCTCATTCCCCTTCATTTTTGACGGGCTATCTTCTAGTAGACCTATAAATATATAACAATTTATCAACCAAATCTATATATTGCAAACAATCATAGATATTATTTTCCAAATAAAACTTTCTAGCAAGTTCATTATGCTATAATAATAAATTCATTGTAAATGATGTGGGTTTTAATTGAATTTATTATCTAAAAAATTACTCCTTTATATTCACAAAATGTCGATAAATTAAGTTTTGTTTTAGTAGAAAGCAACGGGAAAACTTTTGTTGATATTTAAAATTCAATTTTATTATATATATCTATATACAAAATCTTGTCATATATATACATTTTTTATAATAGCGTATTTACATGTTAACAAAGTAAAAATACATATGTCCTTTACAATTTCATTTTGCATTACCGATTTTATTTATCTTTTATTACACTGACCTTTTAAACTAAAAAATACAATATTCAATTTTAGACTTTTAAACAAAAATTATAATATTCAATTTTAATATTTAACATTTCCCCTTCTTTTTAAATTTCTTCTTTCCTCAGTTTCTTATCTTCACTTCCAGTCATTCGTTTCTCAATTGCTCCATTAGTCATTTGTTCGTATATCTTTAGATTGTTTGTTTGACCAGTTGAATCGATTATCGAACATCATGAAACATCGTTGGTTGAACATCATTGTTGAAACGTTAGTTGAACATTGTGGTTGATTTGCTGTTTGTATTGATCATCCCATTTATCTTTCAAAATTATATATATATTTTATTTTTTTACAAAATTTTATTTATTTATAACAATCATTTTCTATGTCGTAGGTCATATTCTCGCTTTTGAACTTGACTTTGAATTTTAGAATTTTGAACTTGAACTTGACTTTGAATTTTCGAATTTTGAACTTGAACTTGTTCACTTCTTCCTCCTCTAAAAATTTTTTCAGTATTATTTATTGATGCTCTCTTTTTTATTTGATCCAAATGTCTCCTGATAATATGATGTCCATTGTCTATTCTGTATGTCAAGTTGCCTTCTTTTTGTACTACTACTCCTTTATCCCAAATATTTTCTTTAAACATTTTGTACCAAATTTTATCTCCTTTTTCTATAATTCTATTTGTTGATATTTTGCGATTTATTTCGTTGTTTATGTCTATGTTTGGTTTAACTAAGTCCCATTTTGTTCTAATCTCTCTTGAAAACATTAATTTGTTCGGAGTTATATTGGTTGTAGCATAACAAAAATTTTTCCAAAGCTATGTCTAAATCTATTTTTTTGTTGGTTTTCATGTTCCTTATCATGTTCATTTTCATAGATCTTATCATTCTTTCACATTGTCCATTTGACTGTTTATGAAGTGGAGCTGTAAGTATGTGTTTACCATGGTCTTCACAGAATTTTTTAAACAAATAGCTGGTAAAGTTCGTACCATTGTCGGTCACGATTATGTGTGGTATTCCAAATAAGCTAATTATTTTCATTAATTCTATTACCAGGGATTCGAACCGAACCCGAACCCGGAGAAGTGAACCCGGGTTTTTAGAAAAAAACTCTGAACCCGAACCGAACCTGAACCCCATTTATAAAATTTCCAAAACCCCGAACCGAACCCAAGAATTTTATTTGAACCCGGGTTCAATCGGGTTCAGTGTATTATTTAAAATCATATATTAATATATGTAAATACAAATATTATATTTTCAAATTTCCAATTAAATGAAGTCTTAATAAATTTTAAACAATTTAATTCATTTATGCCATTTTTAAATTTATTCTCGATTCCTATTGGAGTGTTAAAAAATTTTAAACAATTGAATTAATTTACGCCATTTATTTTTAAATTTTTATCTTATTATTCTTAAAGATTATTAATTAGAAGAAAATGGTTAACAAATCAAAGTAAAAATTATTATATTGTTAATTTAAAAAATTCTAAACATCTAACTTAAAAATTGTTAAATGTAGGGCAGTTTTTGTGAACTTATTAAAATGATTTTAAAATTTATATATGCTAATCATTTATTTTTGGTTTAGTTTAATTTTTACAAGATATTAATGAAGTGCATATTATAAATGAAATTAAATTTATAAATATCTCTTTTTTAATTCTGAAATCATTGCTATTTAAAAAAATTGTTCTCTTTTTATAGATTTAAGATTAAAGATAAAGTCATATTTGATAAGCATTTTACCCTTAATAAAATAGAAAAAAAAATCAATATGTTCATATTGCAAAGTAAAAATGTCTGGTAATCACTTGTCAAATATAGAAAGACACCTGGAAAGAAATCACAACAATGAATATTTAAATTATTTAAATGAAAAAACCAAATATCAGGAATTGTTATTGGCAAAAAACCTAAAATTAATATAGAAACCTTTTTTCCAAAAAAGCATATAAGTATAAATATATCATCTAATGATTTGATGAGTTCTATACTAGAACTTGTTACTGTAAATGGCCGGCCTTTATCAATTATTGAAGATTCGGGATTTCAAAGAATTATAAATCCACTCCTATCTGGGCTCAATTTAGTTATAAACAAAGAAAATTTATCCAGAACTATTAATAAAACAGCCCAATCAATTAGAGACAAAATATCGAGAGAGGTAGAAGGAAAATTAATAAGTTTAAAAGTTGATGCAGTTCAACGACTAGATAGGTCAATTCTTGGTGTAAATATTCAATTTATATCAAAGTCCATTATAAATTTGAGGACTCTTGGAATTGTAGAGGTGAAAGAGAGATGTACAGGAGAATATATAAAAGAGAATATATTAAAAACTTTACTAAAATTTAAAATTAATATTCAACAAATATACACAATTACTTCTGATAATGGTTGTAATTTTTTAAGAGCTATAAAGTTCCTGCAACCTGAAACTGATTATGATATAAGGAGTGAATCAGCAGATGAGGAAAATATGGATGTAAATGTATATAAATATGATATTGATGATATACAAAATACTTTTTTATCAACTATTATATCCTATCCGATTTATAGTGTACGGTGTGCACACACTTCAGCTGGCACTTCAAGATGCTATAAAATTATCACCTATTGTGGAAACCATTGCAAAAGCTAGGAGCCTAAATTTAAAATTAAGACATCCCACTTACCAAAAGTTATTAAAAAATATGAAACTCCCTAAGCCTGTGTTAGATTGCCACAGATGGCATTCAACCCATGATATGTTAGAAAGGCTGATTTTACTAAAACCCAATATCGAAGATTTTTTTACAGAGCAATCTGATTATTTATTGACTGAAGATTGGAAAGAGATAATAACGATTGTTGAAATTTTAAAACCGCTAAAAATCGCAACCAAACAATTCCAATCTGAACAGTTAACACTGACAGATTTTTATGCAGCATGGTTAAGATGCTGCATCGAACTGGAAAAAAATCCAAACCATTTTGCTCAATTACTATATTCTTGTCTTAAGAACAGAGAAGAAAGGTTTATAAAGAACGAAATTCTCTTAGCTGCCATATACCTGGGCCCAAGATACAAGGTTAATTAAAAGCTTAGTAAATTAATTATTTTAGATTTATATTAAAATTGTTATTTTATGAAATATTTAAATATAAACAATATAAATCCTTAAATATTACAGGTATTACTTAGTGATGATGATAAGATTTGTGCGAAAAAACATCTTGTCAATTTATGGAGACGAATTAAAAGCTTAACAACGCCAATTTTATCTGATGATATTAGTTCCGATGAAGTTATTGAACAAGAAGATGATTTAGAGAAATTGATACAACTTAAAGAAAGGCAGGAGAAAATACTTAAAAGAGGGCCAACGATTGCTGAGAAAAGTATTGGAACAATAATTACTGGATTTAGCGATTATATAAGATTAGATAAGAAGGAAAATATTTTGCATTTTTGGGAGTCTGCTAAGCTGGAACACCCTGAATTATATATTTTATCTATAATCTTATTTGCTGTTCCTGCAACCCAAGTTAATTTTTCATATTTTCACATATAAATACATTTAACATAGGTTAGCGTTGAAAGATCTTTTTCACATTTGAAATTCATTCTTTCACCACATAGATCGAGGATGAGTGAACAACTCTTGGAAGATATTATGCTAATACGTCTATAAAATTTTTAAAATTGATACATGACTATATGCTTTGTATTTTTAACTATATTTGCCTATAAAGAAAATAAAAAATTTATTTTTTATATCAAATTTATGTCTAGTTTTTTATTATGATTTAAATATAGAATTTTTTTTATCAACTCAAAAATTCT